GACGAGCTGCTGCATTCTGTACAAGCTGCAGACGATAAAGCTCAGACTTCCCAATGCCTGTATACAAGGAGTTACAGTAATCCAGGCGTGAGGTAATAAAAGCATGAATGACTTTTTCTAGGTCAGCCTGTCTCAGATACGGTTTGACTTTAGCTATCAGTCTAAGCTGAAAAAAGCTAGCCTTAACCACAGCACTGACCTGCTTATCCAGTTTAAAAGCACTATCAACAATCACTCCAAGATTCCTGGCATGGGATCTTAAGTGAGGTGCTAGTTGGCCAAGGGCACTGGTAAGAACCTGAACCAACTCTGGACGACCAAACAAGACAACCTTCGTTTTATTCTCATTAAGTTTTAAAAAGTTTAGGTCCATCCATTTCTTAATATCGCTCATGCAGTTTATCACGGCCTGCAAAGATTCTTTAGCTGGAACCTTTAGTGGAAGATACACCTTCACATCATCAGCGAAGCAGTGGAAGGAGATGCCATGCTTCCTGAAAATTAATCCCAATGGTAGCATATACAGGGTAAATAGGAGTGGACCCAGAACTGACCCCTGCGGTACCCCACAGGTCAGAGGGGCCACTGAGGATGAAAACTGTCCCATTTGTACTGAGATTGATCTGTCTGTTAAGTACGACTCAAACCACTTTAGGACAGTGCCTTTTAAGCCAACACAGTGCTCTAAGCGCCACAGAAGAATTTTATGATCAACTGTGTCGAAGGCTGCAGTCAAATCAAGCAGAATTAAAATGGCACAGTTGCCAGTATCAAGGTGTAAGAACAGATCATTAAAAACTTTTAATAGAGCAGTCTCAGTACTGTGACGAGACCTAAAACCAGACTGAAACTGTTCGTAAACATCCGCTGTTTTTAAAAATTCTTGGACCTGCATTAACACAACTCTTTCCAAAACCTTTGAAATAAAAGGGAGCTTAGAAATGGGTCTAAAATTAGATAAAACCATAGGGTCTAAGTTCTTCTTCTTCAGGAGAGGCTGAACTATGGCATGTTTAAAAGAAGATGGAACGCAGCCAGAACTAAGACACAAATTAATAAATTTCAAAATAAAAGACTCCACTGAACAGAAGACCTCCTTAAACAGACATGATGGAATACTATCCGTTTGACAGTTAGCAGGGCGTAAATGTGCAACTATCACATTCAGTTCAGTAGGGGTGACCGGTTCAAAGCTGTCAAAGACAGCTGTGCTTGCTATAGGAGCTGAGGGGACCTGAGCAGACCGAGATAGTGGGATTCTAATAGCAGAGATCTTGTCTGTAAAAAACTGCAGAAAAGCCTCACACAAACTAGAAGAAGGCTCTAAACAGACAGCATCACCACAGTTCACCAGTGAATCAAATACATTAAAAAGAACCTGAGGCTTATGAGCATTTTTTGACACCAGTGAGGAGAAATAATCAATTTTTGCAGTTTTTACAGCCTGCTGATAATTAATAAGACTGTCTTGAAGGAGTTCCCTAGAAATTTGAAGATTGTCCTTTTTCCATTTTCTCTCCGCCTGTCTACATGTGCGCCTGAGCGTACGAGTGGACTCATTCAGCCAGGGCTCCTTCTGAGGCTTTATGCGCTTTAAAGTCATGGGTGCAATCGAATCTAAAATCTTAGTACAGAAAGAATCAAACATTGCTATGCATTCATCCACACTGCGGTCATTAAGATCATCCAAAGAATATAAAAAAGAGTCTTTAAAAATAGCACAAAACAACTGTGGAGTTCCAGAATTAAAAACACGAAGACGGCGCAGAGGAGCTGCGCTTAGAGAGGGAGCAGGCACAGAGATGGAAAATAAAACAGGTAAATGGTCAGATAAAAGTGTGTGGCCGATCTCAGTTATCTGTATGTCCAGCCCATATGACAGCACAAGATCCAAAATATGACCCTTTTCATGCGTGGGCTCCCGAACAGACTGCATAAGGTTGAAAGAGTCAATTACATTCATAAAGTCTTTGACCAGAGGTCTGTTCTCACAACACACATGTATATTGAAATCGCCAACAATCAAAAAGTGGTCATATTTAAGAGTAACACCCGATACAAAGTCTGCAAAGTCCCGAACAAAGTCTTTGTTGAATTTTGGTGGCCGATAGACCACCGCACAGAGAAAAGTTTCCGAAAGCTTTACCTCAAAGAGTTGCAGCTCAAAGCTGGAGTAGCCTGCAGTTGAAGATTGTTGACAGCAAAAAGTAGATTTAAAAATGGATGTCAGTCCTCCACCTTTACCGGTAATACGAGGGGAGTTAAAATAATTGCATCCAGGGGGAAGAAGCTCCGATAAAGGAGTAAGATCACCTTCACGCAGCCAGGTTTCCGTCAGGAACATAAAATCCAAATTACGTGCGATAAAGAAATCGTTCAGTAAAAACGTTTTGTTTGTGACAGATCTCACATTCAGCAGAGCCAGATTTAAAGTAACAGTGTCAAATACGGACAGGACTTGCTTCAGGGATCGAAGGCTCCGACGATCCACACCTCTTCTCCTAGTCGGTACACGCCAGCTGGCAGGGGGAAGCACCAGCCGATCGGGGTCCACCGAGCGGCCGACACCGCCTAAGCCACCAGCGTCAGGGAACACCGGCCGAATCCATCGGTCCCTGAACACCCCCGAGTGCAGAACAGCGTCGTCCAACAGATACAGCTCAGTCCAGCGACCAAACACACGAATAGTCCTCAGAGTAGCCTTTAACCTTACCCGGACACCTCCGCGTTTACCACGTCTTCTGCACCGTCTCTTGGAAGCATAATAGAGAGGAGGGCGCCTCAGGAAGACCGGAATTTCCTCGAGGCATGGAGGTGGAGGTGAGCTTTTCAGCAGGTCAGGTTTAAAATGATTGCAGAAGACTCCAATCTCAAGCAGAGTTTGGCGATCATAAGTGAGAAACGATAGTACGCCTTGGCAACATAGGTAAAATAATAATAGATATAAAACAAAGACAAAGTGGAGCGACAGACGGCCAGCCAAACATCTCAGCGCCATCTTTCAGTTGCACTTTACTATCCCATACAAGCTTTCAAACAATTTAAATCCGTTTATATTTACAATTTAAATCCATATATATTTACAGACTCGTTAATTCATAAGCTTCATGACTGAACTGAACTCCTATGCACGTTTCGAAGCTAGCAATGCTAACGCTGGCCATGCTAACGCAGGCCTGACTAACGCAGATAGAAGGAGTTCTACCAGTGGGGCAGCACTCAGCCCCGTTCTCTCTGAGCATGACGTGAGAAGGGAGCTGAAAAGGGTGAACACCAGAAAGGCGGCAGGCCCGGATAGGATCTCAGGACGAGTCATCAGGACCTGCGCTGACCTTCTGGCTCTAGTGTTCACCCCATTCACCATATTCAATCTTTCTCTTGCACAATCCACAGTCCCCACATGCTTCAAGATGTCCACCATCATCCCCATGCCCAAGAACGCCTCCCCAGCCGGTATGAACGACTACCGTCCCGTAGCACTGACCTCGCTGGTCATAAAGTGCTTTGAGAGGTTGATAAAGGACCACATCTGCTTCTCTCTTCAAAGTACCTTAGACCCACTGCAGTTCGCCTACCGCTCCAACAGATCCACAGACGATGCCATTTCCCAGGTCATGCATGCCACCCTCCTTGACATTGTAAGAGGGGGTTATGTCAGACTGCTGTTCATAGACTACAGTTCAGCTTTCAACACTGTAGTCCCCAGCAGGCTGGCTACTAAGCTGTATGACCTGGGCCTGAATCCATCAATGTGTGCCTGGATCCTGGACTTCCTGACTGCCAGGCCTCAGGTTGTCAGAGAGGGAGGGCACACATCACACCCCCTCGTCCTCAACACTGGTGTCCCTCAGGGCTGTGTGCTGAGTCCTTTGCTGTACTCCCTGTATACCCACGACTGTGCCGCCAGGCACAATTCCAACACCATCGTGAAATTTGCGGACGACACGGTTGTGGTGGGCCCGATCACTAACAACGACGAGCAGGCCTATCTACATGAGGTGTCAGACCTTACAAGGACAACAGCCTACTGCTAAATGGGGAGAAGACCAAGGAGATGGTGGTGGATTTCTGCCCACAACGTCGCAGGACCTACACCCCTCTCCTTATAGACGGGACACCAGTGGAGAGGGTGAGCAGTTTTAAATACCTCAGAGTGCACATTTCTGTGGATTTATCATGGACTGTACACACGGACACCGTGGTGAGAAAGGCAAGACAGCCCCTCTATCACCTCAGACAGCTCAGGAGATTTAAGGTCTCCCAACGGTCCTGATTTCCTTCTACTATGCTGCTGTACAGAGCATACTGACTGGAGATCTGTCTGGTACGGTAACAGGTCCTGTGGGGACCAGCGCGCCCTGCAGAGGGTGGTGAGGACCGCTGAGCGGACCATGGGCACCACACTTCCCCCTCTGCATGACTTATACATCACACGCTGTACAAACAGGGCCAGAATGATTACCAAGGATCCCCATCACCCTTGCAATAAACAGTTTGTAACCCTCATGTCAGGCAGACGCCTGCGCTGTCATAAAACACGCACAGAGAGGATGAGGAACAGTTTTTTCCCTGCGGCAATCAGACCTCTGAATTCTGCAAAATAACATTTGTACATCTGGCTGTTGATCTAGGTTTAACTTATATAATATTCTTATAATATAGTTTTGTAATTATTGTATTCTTTTATTTTTATGTTTCTCTTTTATTACATTTGAGCACATAAGTACAGTACATGTCACAAAAACATTTCACTGCGCATCTTGTATGAGTATGTGACAAATAAAACCTTTGAATCTTGAATCTTGACATGATCTGCTTTCAGGGGTGCTTTATAGCTTCCTGGTCTATAACGTCACCCGCCTATGACGTCTCGCTCTTCCATTGGACTGATTATACACTTGCTTCACGATGCAATCACACAGGGGTGTTCCCACAGCGTAACTACGCAGCGGGAGTTCCCTTGATAGGGAAATATACTTTAAATATGACATATTTCTGACCTTGTGGTAGAGGACACTGAATCCACTCTGCGATAACTCTTTCTGTCTGTCTTTGCTGTGTGCGTCCTTTGACCCTGAAACCACAGAAGGAAAACTCTTAAATCATCAGTGGATTCTTCATTAGCTGCTTATATTTAAAACTTTATACAGTGTGTCCATTTTCTTTACGCTTGCATTTTACCTTCAATGTTGTAGATATTTATTTGCAGATTGTTAAGAAGTCTTTCAAGTCCATTGTAGTCTTGAATGTAGAAGGTGTTGTTTATCCTTGGTTCTGAAGCCAGCTCCCTGAGTTTGTTTAAGCTAACATGTCCCACCTGGCAAACACAAATGTCTTTACGTCTGACTGTGCAAAAACACCTTTAACTATGCAAATTGAAACAGGCCATTAGGGCTTTTCACACTTACAGTTTTTCTCAATTGCTAACAAGATTCATTAAACAATTCACCATATTCTCACAACTATAAACACAATCTCATAACTAAACACCAACTTGTACAAACCTCAAACTTACAGGTCAAGAATATTTTAGTAAAAATCATATTCTCTTTTGTTAGAATTAAACTTTTGCCTCAGATGACACAGTAAACCTAACATAGGTTTAAATACACTGTGACCAAAAGAAAAACTCTCATTGGGAATCAGGAATGACTTTGCAGCTCAATGTCTACTACAGTATACAACATGAATGAATGCAGATATAGTAAAGTACAACATTGAGCTTTAGGAAAACTTAATTTTCATTACACTAATGTAAAGTGATCATAAAGTAGATGAAAATCACTAGAAAAGAAAAGTTCAACTACCCACATATTTAAATATGAGCCCGCAATGCATCACAATAGAGTACAGTTAATATAAATAAATAAATTCAGCACCCTTTGTGTCACTGGTGGCTGCAAGGAAGCGCACAACAAAGGAGAAATAGTCTTTAATCCAACAATAATAGCAAAATGCATGAAACAACCTTAACACTGATGAGACGGGACAAAGAACTGAACAAAACAGGGAGTACTTGTGTCACGCTATAGCCTGGGAAAACCCAGACAACTTCCGCAAATTTAGATTTGCTCTGCAAGTTAGTCTGGCAAAGAGCTCATTCAAGCCCATTTCCAATCCGTCGAAATCGCGGCACCAATCAGAAGCGTTGGGGCGGGCTTTACACGATGACGACAGCACAGCGACGGTGAAGCAGATTTAGTACATTTACCAAGATGGATGCCGCCGTGGAACTAGGGGTGTGACGGTTATAGTTGAACACCGTCATTAGAACTCTATAACCGCCAAAACCATGTTATTAAAATATTTTTTTCACAAAAATGTTTATCATAGAGAATGTTTAAAAACTAATATCAGCTTACGAGGGAAACGGAGGCGGAGTTAGTGGTGCTTCGGAGGCTGGAGATGATTCGGGAGAGGGCTGTGCCCCTTTACCGATCAGAGCGCGCGCTGACACGGAGTAAAGCCTTGTTTATACTCGACGCGTCTGCATGAGCGCGGCAAAAATGACGCGTTCGGTGCGCAAGACCGGCAAGACACCATTTCGCTTGGCTGTGTGCACGGCTTTTTTTGGAACAGCGCACGGCCTGGTTTTAACCAGGCTAGTCACGCTAGAAAACACAAGATCAAGTAGCGAATGTTAAGAAAGTTTATTTAGTAAACAGAGAATATGAGCGAGGCAGGCTGGTCAGATGCAGTGGTGCAGGAATGTGTTCAGGTCTTGGCAGCGAGGAGACTGCAATTGGCTGAGGTCCGATGATCAACGTAGAAAATAATCCCTGAGCGATCAGAGCAGTGAGAGTCCATGTCGGAGTGAGCTATTGTTGCAAAACAACGCTGTTTTATAAGAGAAGTCAAAGACAATGATGTATTCGGTTTACGCCACTACTCTATGCTATGCACAAACAGTAATTTCAGGAAAACAGTTTGAAACAGAAATTTCTATTCTCTGTATATCCTGTACATATAGTAGAATTGACGATAAAGTTGACAATGACAATGTCATCAAGGCCATAATGTGATTATGAGGCATACGTAATCCAAGTTGACCATTACGCTTTCTCCGTGGAAATGGGTATCTGCTGATAAAATAGAAGCTCTGGTAAAAGTGTCACAGTGATGATTCAAACTAACTGGTAGATTGACTGAGTACAGTGACTCTGAACATGAAGTTGATACACCGCGAACTATCTGAACATACAATGTAAATGACAAGCTTGAGGTAGAGGTAATACAAGATATTTTATGTTAAAATACATTCTCTTAACTCAGTTTATTGTCCATTGACTACTTTAGTATGCCATTCAAGGGTTTATCTCCCCCAAAAGTGTGAACATTGAGCCTCCCAGACACCATCAATATATTAAGAGTGGTCCACTCAGATCTGTCCATCTGTTTCAGCTCAACCAGTCGTGAGGGTTTGGGGCGTGGATACTGTAGCAGACTGACCGGAGTGTGTTCAGCCTGACACATTACATGGGAAAAGACATTCAGCTTCGGTTACAAGAGCACAAGCCAGAATTCACTGCATTTAGACCTTCAAAGATTAAACCGGTCATGATGCTTATGTACGCTTCAATACCATACAGCATAATAATGCTCCTGTTCAGAAAGACAAATGTTCCAGTTTATAATGACTTCTTTGATGTGTGACTTTGATGTGCGCTTCTGCGACAGCGCGCACACTACATAGATATAATGCACTCAAAGTACTGAGTGAGGACAGCTGTCTCTGCCCAGCAATTAACACAGCACCCTCAAATAATCCGAAAATGGGATAAATCGAAACTAGCCCTTGGCCAGTGACTCACTTAAGTGCTATGCAATTTAGACTGCAATACTATACAGACGCGCAAACTATTCAATTTACTGTTATAAAGTAGCAACGCGTCTAATTAAAATACAGATTTGTGAGAAGGTAAAAAATTAAAATAAACACAGAATCGAAAATAGCCCTACCTTCTGATAGAAACTAAGCTGAAACAACAGGAGAACTGGATATTAAGAAAAAATCTACTTGCGCGCTCTTGTCGATTCCACAGACTGACCGTTTGTCCTGGCCTTGTCCTGGATCTCTTCGACTTTATATCTGTGTACAGTGGCTGTCTCTGCCCAGCAATTAACACAGCACCCTCAAATAATCCGAAAATGGGATAAATCGAAACTAGCCCTTGGCCAGTGACTCACTTAAGGGCTATGCAATTTAGACTGCAATACTATACAGACGCGCAAACTATTCAATTTACTGTTATAAAGTAGCAACGCGTCTAATTAAAATACAGATTTGTGAGAAGGTAAAAAATTAAAATAAACACAGAATCGAAAATAGCCCTACCTTCTGATAGAAACTAAGCTGAAACAACAGGAGAACTGGATATTAAGAAAAAATCTACTTGCGCGCTCTTGTCGATTCCACAGACTGACCGTTTGTCCTGCGATCTACATCTCCCTTCCCTTCCCTACTCCTATCCTTATCCTATTTCCCTTAAACGTCATGTGCTTTCAATACATTCCTGTTGTCTCTCGACAACGCTCACTCATCACGTACAGAAGGCAGCGCAATCCTGCTAATCTGCGTCCTATTCTCTTATCCTCACACTCACCTCTCACTCTTTCTATGGGTCTATGGAACTGCCAATCAGCAGTCAATAAAGCTGACTTCATTCCAGCTTTTGCTTCTCATTCTACTCTTAATATTTTAGGCTTAACTGAGACCTGGATCCGTCCAGAAGACTCAGCAACCCCTGCTGCTCTCTCTAACAACTTCTCTTTCTCTCACACACCTCGCCAGTCCGGGAGGGGTGGGGGTACTGGTCTTCTCATTTCTAACAATTGGAAATATTCAACTCTCTCCTCTCTATGCAATAACAACTCATTTGAATATCATGCTATTACACTTACAATTCCCATTAAGATCCAGATTGTAGTCATTTATCGCCCCCCAGGTCAACTGGGAAGCTTTGTAGAGGAGCTATATGTGCTGCTGTCCTCTTTCCCTGAGGATGGCACTCCACTGGTAGTCTTTGGTGATTTCAACATTCATCTAGAGAAGCCGTATGCTACAGACTTCATCTCTCTCCTAGCCTCTTTCGATCTCAGACGGCTCATCACCACAGGTACTCACAAGTCAGGCAACCAACTGGACCTGGTTTACACACGCAACTGCATCACAGACAACATTTTGGTGAAACCTCTTCACGTTTCAGATCATTTCCTCATTACTTTCAATCTACAACTCACTACCCACACTCCACCAACTCCCCTACCAGTTACTTTCAGACGAAACCTCCGCTCACTTTCTCCCTCCCATCTTTCCTCTGCTGTGTCATCCTCTCTTCCCTCACCCTCAAAATTCTCATCTCTGGATGTGAATACCGCAACGGATACTTTATGCTCCACTTTAACTTCTTCTTTAGACACTATCTGCCCTCTCTCCTCCAGGCCAGCACGCGCCACTCCCTCTAACCCGTGGTTATCTGAGGTTCTTCGTGAACACCGGACCAAACTCAGAGCAGCGGAGAGAAAATGGCGCAAATCGAATGATACATCTGACCTGAGTATGTATCAATCTCTGCTCTCTGCTTTTTCTGTTGATGTTCACGCTGCAAAATCTTCATACCTCCACAACAAGATCAACACCGCCCCTAACACACGAACACTTTTCAAGACATTCAACTCTCTCCTCTGTCCACCTCCACCACCACCCACCTCCTCTTTAACTGCTGATGACTTTGCTAACTTCTTCACTAACAAAACAACAACTATCAGCAGTCAGTTCTCTAATCCACACACACAGGAACCTAGACCAACCACTCCCACAGCCAATAACCTTCTCTCCTCCTTCACTCCACTAACCGAGGAAGTAGTATCTAAACTTCTCCTCTCCAGTCATCCTACCACCTGCCCTCTAGACCCCATCCCCTCACACCTTCTACAAGCCATCTCTCCCACACTTTTACCAGCACTAACACACATCATCAACTCATCCCTCCACACTGGCATTTTCCCTACAGCATTTAAGCAGGCTCGGGTAACTCCACTGCTTAAAAAAACAACATTAAACACATCACTTCTAGAGAATTACAGACCTATCTCTCTCCTACCATTCATTGCGAAAACACTTGAACGAGTTGCTTTCAACCAAGTATCATCTTTCCTGTCTCTGAACGACCAGCTGGATGTCAACCAATCTGGCTTAAAGAAAGGGCATTCAACCGAGACCGCATTACTATCAGTCACAGAAGCCCTGCGGATCGCTAAAGCTGCTTCCAAATCATCAGTTCTCATTCTCCTGGACCTCTCTGCTGCCTTCGACACTGTGAATCATCAGATCCTTCTGTCCACCCTCTCATCACTGGGCATCACTGGAACTGCCCTCCACTGGTTTGAGTCCTATCTCACAGGTAGGTCCTTCAGGGTCGCATGGAGAGGCGAGGTATCCAAAGCACATCAACTGACCACAGGGGTTCCCCAGGGTTCAGTGCTTGGACCGCTCCTCTTCTCCATTTACACCACATCACTGGGACCCATCATACAGGCACATGGTTTCTCTTACCATTGCTATGCTGATGACACCCAGCTCTACCTCTCATTTCAACCAGATGATCCCACAGTAGCTGCTCGAATCTCAAGCTGTCTGGCGGACATCTCGGCATGGATGAAGGAACATCACCTGCAGCTCAACCTGACAAAAACTGAGCTTCTCATCCTCCCTGCTAATCTGTCTCCACAGCACGACTTCACTATCCAGCTAGATTCTTCCTCAATCACCCCATCAAAGTCGGTCAGAAATCTTGGTGTAATCTTTGATGACCAGCTGACCTTCACAGACCACATTACAAAGACAGCTCGATCATGCAGGTTTGCACTGCACAACATCAGGAAGATCAGGCCTTTCCTAACTGAGCATGCAACACAACTTCTCGTCCAGGCCCTGGTCATTTCTAGGCTTGATTACTGCAATGCTCTTCTGGCTGGACTTCCATCATGTGCAACTAAACCTCTACAAATGATCCAGAACGCTGCTGCTCGTCTGGTCTTCAACGAGCCCAAAAGGGCCCACGTCACTCCTCTGTTCATCTCCCTGCACTGGCTACCACTCGCTGCTCGCATCAAGTTCAAGGCATTGACACTTGCTTACAGATTGACCACAGGCTCAGCTCCCTCCTACTTTCACTCGCTCCTACGAGTCTACATCCCTACCAGAAGCCTACGATCAATCAATGAGCGACGGCTCGTGGTACCTTCACAAAGAGCCACAAAATCACTCTCCAGAACATTCTCATTCACGGTTCCATGCTGGTGGAATGATCTCCCCACCCTCGTCCGTAATGCAGAATCCCTGACAGCATTTAAAAGACAACTGAAAACTCATCTCTTCCGTGAGCACTTAACTTAAAGTGAACTTAAACTTAAAAAAAAAAAAATAATAAAAAAAAAAAAAAAAAAACTTCAAATCCTCACTTGTCTGGTTTATGCTACTCTGAGCAATGTTTGAACTTTGTATTTTGAGCACTTCTTGGGTTGCTATTGTCTCTTCACGATGACTCGTTTGGTTAGTCCTCAGATGTAAGTCGCTTTGGATAAAAGCGTCTGCTAAATGACTAAATGTAAATGTAAATGTAAATGTGTCCAGTGTAGACAGCCTCAAACACTTGTGGTGCGTCATGTCAAAAAATGCGCCCGGTTCAAATCCATTGTAAGGGTTTCTTATAAGCGAGACACTTGCATTCGCTCTAGACAGCGTTAGCCTGCCCTACTCAACTGCTTACTCATGACACATAGCAACACAGCTAAAAGTATTCCTAATATGTTGGACCTTTTGTTGGAAGTAGCCTACTTTAACCTGTAGAGAAATGCCTTCACGGGGAAGCCACGACACACAAAAGGTGCGATTGCAAGATTGAAAATATACTTTATTTTCTTAATTCCCCTCGGTGCCACTAGCAGCGCAGAAACTACATACTTCACCTTTAAGGAAACTCACCCCAATGATGAAGCGAAGGATATTTTGCTCATTGCATCTGTTGAGGACATTTTCCTCTTCTTTATCACTAGGGTCTCCATCTGTGATGATCACCAGGGCTTTCTGAGCGCTGAGATCGGCTCCAGACGACACGTTATTCAGGAGATTCTCTCTGGTGATGTAATAAATCATAAATAATGACATATAAACATTTGATCAGTCTCAACCTGCCTCTTTTCTTTCTACAATGCGTTTTTAACTTCTAATTTATGCAATGACAAAAGTCCAAATCCAGTGTGTTTAACAAAAAAGAGCCATCTTTGATTTTCATTTATGTGCATTTCAAGACTGTTTCTTTTAAAGTATAAATTCAGTGAACATTCATAAACATAGAAGGTTTCACTCACAAAACATAGTTGATTGCTCCATATGTGTTTGTGAGAGTTTTTATGCGTTTCTCTTGCATGAGTTTGTGTTCAGCGTAGCCGTCCTGATAGTCGTTGAAGTCAAACACAGTTGTGAATGTAGTTGAAAACTGGACGGCAGCAAACTGACAAACAGAAGGACAAACAACAAGCACACGTGCCGTTAACATCATTAGCAAACTATAGACGATTACATCTCAATATTTCCACATTAATAGTGGTGGATTGATTTACCTTTATGGATGAGTTTGAAAGCTTGCTCATAACATCTTTAATGAATTGCTTGCTCAATTTAAACTCGTGTGGTTTCAGACTGCTGGATCCGTCAAAGAGAAACACCAGATTGACTTCTCTCTTCGTGCATTCTGCAGAAATACCACAAGATATGGAAACAAGTATTTACATAATGTCTTTAATCCTGTCTTTAATTGAGTTGTCAATAATCATCACACCAACTGGAATGTTAGTAAGAACCCAACACATGGTTTACAGTATTAAAGACTGAAATAGTTAAACTGCATTCAGTGCTAGAAGTGTCGTTATCCGCTGGTTTCTGTGTCAGACTCGTCAGACCTTGGTAAGCGGCGGTAAAGTTTGAGACGGCCTGTAATCTGCTGTTGAACTGGTAGCAGACGCTGTTCAGATACGAGTTTCCGTCACATTCATGAGGAAGATAGGGACTGCAGCTCTGAGAAAGAGACACAATATCTGAAACATCAGGAGGATCAAATCACACACAAGCTGAAACAAAGAGTCCAGTGCTAAAATGAGGAAGCAGAGAACATTCCTGCAGTGTTTCCCGTTCTTCAGTGGAAACAAGTACAGAAGAGACTGTGATCAGAAGTCAAACACTGAAGTGACTAATGAAGGAAGCTGCTGAACTCACAGTCAAGCGTCCGACAGCATCAGACGACACAGCAGAAGACATGCCGAAGAACCGAACGCCCTCTGAGCCTGTCAATCATCACCAGAGAGAGAGAGAGAGAGAGAGAGAGAGAGAGAGAGAGAGAGAGAGAGAGAGAGAGAGAGAGAGAGAGAGAGAGAGAGAGAGAGAGAGAGAGAGAGAGAGAGAGAGAGAGAGAGAGAGAGAGAGAGAGAGAGAGAGAGAGGAGAGGGAGAGGGAGGGGGGAGAGGGAGAGGGGGGAGGGGGAGGGGGGGAGACCTTTAACACACCTTTATTTATAATTACACTGTATAGACATTCCTCTTAAACATCTATTTTCTCAAATGTACATAAATACAAATATACCCACTCAAAAACTCATAAAACGTAACAAATTATTGAGTAAAATCTACAAACATCAGAATGTAGCCGGTGAGGTAGCAATTAGTAAAGGGGCGTGGCCAGGTAGGTAGAGGGTTTTTACTTGTGTGTTGGTGCACAGACGTGGTCTGGGTGAGCAGACACAAACATTGTGCTGTCCGGCGACATGTCCATGTTGGTTTGTGCATGAACGGTCTGGTGAGCAGACACAAACATGGTGGATTTGTAGGCCGTTGGTCATGCTCGTTCCTATCTTGGAAGTTAGTCCAGGATTGGTGGATGTTGCAGGTAATTTAAAGTTTCTACAGTGTTTGTTTCGTTGATCGCTGTTCCTCGTGTGTTTGTTTTTTTGTTTTGATTTCCCCGTTTAGCCAGTACCTGCATGTGCGCTGTATGCCTCCAGCGCAATGAGTGTTTAGATGTTGTGAATCGTACTGGCTAACGGGGTGTTTTCTTTTTTTCTTGTTCCTTGTTTGTATATCACTTCCCAGCCTCGTGTCGCTAGCCAACCCTTGCACTCTCTGTACTATACTGATGCTTTAAAACACCTGAACTATTTATTTGCATGAGACTTGAGGTTGTTGTGTTATTGTTTTTTTGGTTTGGTTTGAGTGTGCGGTATTTCTATTTAATATGATTTTGGGGTTGTTTGTGTAATGTACTTTGTGTTATTTTGAATTGTCCTGTGTGACAAAGTTGGGAGTGTATTGGGGTTTGTAGGGGGTTGGCTGGTTGGTAACATCCGTTGAGGGGAAATGAGTTTTTCTGGTTCTACCATGTACTTTCTTTTGATTTGATGTATGTATTATTGTTTATTTATCAATAAATCCTTTTTTTTTTTGTGAGTACATTGAAGTTAGTTCTTTTATCTCCCTTGTTGGAAGGAACGGTTGCCTCACTGGTAACAAATGGATGGAATTGTTTCAGCATTACCTTCTGTCTTCAGACAAAGCTCAGAGGAAAAAGAGGTTCCTGAACAGAACAGAGGGAGCCATTTTCCCCAAGTGGAAATTTTAGCAGCGGTGGATGAAGAGCCAGAGGAAGGGTCTCTTTTAATTTCAGGTTTTGAGACTGCTTCAAAAAAGGCACTCTATAATATTTGTGTGAAAGTGTCTCACTACAACATTCTCAAAGATTGCAAAGAAACAAAGTGGTCAGATGTGTTGGGGCCAGACTCTTCCCCTAGAAGCTGCTGGAGGTCCCTGTACAAGCCTCCTATAGAGGAACGCACTGCGGATCTCCAGTGGAGGGTTGTTCACTGGGCGGGAGCTACAAACAGGCACGTGGCACACATCGACCCCACTGTAGGGAACGAATGTCCTTTTTGTGGCACTGAAGAGTCAATAGATCATTTGTTTTTAAACTGTTTAAGGTTAAGAGGATTGTTTCAGATCTTAGATGGGTGGGTTAGAGATTTGCGGGCAGTTTTTAATAATGAAGTTTTCATTTTTGGACCAAAATATGTTGCATCAGACAGGTAAAAAATCTCGTTAATTAATTTTGTGCTTGGAGAAGCAAATATGGCAATATGGCTAACATGGAAAAGGAAACTGAAAGGAGCGGGGGAGTAGGTCCTGAGGTGGTCTTAAAGGCTCTTATAGCAACCAGAATCAAGGCAGAGTTTACATATTTTAAACTAATGAATAATATGGACAGATTTATTGACATTTGGGCTTTGAATGATGTTTTGTGCACAGTGGATTATGAAAATCAGTTGGTATGTTATTTATGAGTTTTTGTGACTTTTGTGAAGAAAAAAAAGTTTAAATGATGTTTAACCAAACCAAAAAAACAATAACACAACAACCTCAAGTCTCATGCAAATAAATAGTTCAGGTGTTTTAAAGCATCAGTATAGTACAGAGAGTGCAAGGGTTGGCTAGCGACACGAGGCTGGGAAGTGATATACAAACAAGGAACAAGAAAAAAAGAAAACACCCCGTTAGCCAGTACGATTCACAACATCTAAACACTCATTGCGCTGGAGGCATACAGCGCACATGCAGGTACTGGCTAAACGGGGAAATCAAAACAAAAAAACAAACACACGAGGAACAGCGATCAACGAAACAAACACTGTAGAAACTTTAAATTACCTGCAACATCCACCAATCCTGGACTAACTTCCAAGATAGGAACGAGCATGACCAACGGCCTACAAATCCACCATGTTTGTGTCTGCTCACCAGACCGTTCATGCACAAACCAACATGGACATGTCGCCGGACAGCACAATGTTTGTGTCTGCTCACCCAGACCACGTCTGTGCACCAACACACAAGTAAAAACCCTCTACCTACCTGGCCACGCCCCTTTACTAATTGCTACCTCACCGGCTACATTCTTCCCCCCAGGAATTAATCGGCGACCCGCCGATGCACACAAAGAGGTGTTCTCATCACTATAAACAGCAGATCAAATCTGTATCTGGGACTACAACTCCTCCCCAACTACTGGTGCAACTGCAGCCCGAGGCAATCTATAAGGGTTTGAATGCTGACCCGCTGTACTTCTCCTAGAACGCCTCGGCTCTAAGGGTTGAGCCTCTGATACAGGAGAACTCTCCAAGGCACTATCCTCACCTGTCCTAGGAGGTTCCACCTCACAATCTTCTTGCAATAATACACATGAGGCCGAATCACTATCTGAATCCGTAGTAGACCCACTCTTCGAGTCAGCCTCGGACACAGTCAAGTCTATATCACCTAAAACAGGGTCAATAAATGCCTTACGCATTTCCATCCGATCGACCTGCTTCACCGGCCCAGCCTGAAACACAGGGGCAACAGAATACACCACACCCTGGTCTCCTGGTTCACGCACCACCTTATACAGACATGAATCATACACATCCTGAATTTTATGTCGTCCACGATGATGGCTTTTGAGATAGACCAACTCGCCTTCTCCAAGACCCTTATCATTTACTCTACCCTCATCACGTCTGTTACGACGGGCAACCTTTTCTCTCAGTCTCTCCTGTACCTCACTGTATGCTGCCTGAAGCCTACCTTGATGTTCCACAATCCACTGATCAGGTGTCTCTGCAGTCTCTTCCAATTGATTTATTTAACAAGAAATCAACTGGTAATTTGGGTTCACATCCAAACATTAAAAAGTATGGGCTCATACCAGTGGAGTAATGCATTGTGGTGTTATAAGCATAAACAAGCTGTGGCAGATGTTGAGGCCACCGCCTCTTTTTCTCTGGGGCCAAAGTTCGCAATAAGTCATGGAGAGTACGATTAAAACATTCGCACTGCCCATTTCCCTGTGGATGGTACGGGGTAGTGCGACTCTTCTGCACACCATAAACCTTACATAACTGACTAATAAGGTTACTTTAAAAATTTCGCCCTTGGTCGGAATGCAGACGAGAAGGAACCCCAAACAAATGGAACCAATGCCGGACCAAAACCTCAGTCACAGTACTCGCTCGCTGATCCCGAGTAGGGATGGCCTGGGTGAACTTAGAAAAAACATCAGTGAGCAATCAACACATTCTCCCTCCCATCACTTGCAGGCTCCAACACGGTAAAATCGACAGCCAAAATTTCGTGAGGCCGGGATGCTTGTAGTGTTCCCATAAAAGACCTCACCTTTGGTTGGACCGCTTTAGAGAGAATGCACCGCTGACATTCCCGACACCACTGCTCCACATCTCTCACCATCCCTAGCCAATAACAGCGACGCTTCACTAATTCTACCGTTCGGTCTCTTCCTTGATGCCCATGACTGTCATGTAAACTGTAAAACACCTCCCTTTGAAGTTTTTGAGGTAACAGTAACTGATATATCTCTCGATGACCATCAGATGTGTACACTAAACGATAGAGGCACCCATCCTTCTCACACAGTCGGTCCCACTGCCTAGCCAGCTCCTTTACATCTCGACCCCCACCAGTCAACTCTGAAGAACGCAAAACACTACCTGCCTCCCAGGCCTTGGCAATAGGGCCAATAACTGGGTCTGCCTTCTGCAAATGAGAAAGATCTACCTGTGAACATCCAGGCAATGCAGCAACTTCACTGCCACTCACCACTACCCGCTCTGGAGATCTTCCCCTCACCTGCTGCTGTAACACTTGGGGAAGTTCTGTTCCTGGAAACACATTGTTCATGGCCTGTCGAGACAGTGCGTCAGCATTTTGATTAACCCTTCCCGGGCGGTACTTAATCACAAAATTGAAAGACGCCAACTGGGATAACCATCGCTGTTCCAGAGCACCCAACTTTGAGGTCTGCAGGTGACAGAGAGGATTATTGTCAGTATAAATAACAAAGTCATTCCCCAACAAATACTCTCTAAACTTATCACATACAGCCCATTTGAGGGCCAAACACTCCAGTTTCATGGAGCTATAGTTCTCCATATTCCGCTCTGTCCTCCGCAGACCCCTACTGGCATAGGCAATGGGACGAAGCTTACCCCCCTGCTCCTGGGATAAAACTGCCCCCAAACCCTGATGACTTGCGTCTATCTCCAGAACAAATGGCTTACGGAAATCTGCAAAAGCGAGCACAGGTGCAGTAACCAGCTTTGTCTTTAATGTTTGGAAACTGTTCTCACACTCTGCATCCCACACAGAGGCTAAAGGCAGCCTGGGGGTCTTACCCTTTCTTGCAGAACCACTCAGTATTGTTACCAATTCATGAAGAGGCTTAGCCAGCTTAGCAAATCCATCAATAA